ATCATCACACCTTAATCAACACATGATGATTCATACCAGAGAGAAACCATTCACATGCACTCTATGTGGGAAGAGTTTTGGAAGAAATTTCGATCTTAAGACTCACATGACAATCCACACTGGAGAGAACACATTCACATGCACTCAGTGTGGGAAGAGTTTTGGAAGAAAATGGGATCTTAAGATTCACATGAGGATCCACACTGGAGAGAAACCATTCACATGCACTCAATGTGCAAAGAGTTTCAGCCGATCATCACACCTTAATGAACACATGAAGATCCACACTAGAGAGAGACCATTCACTTGCACTCAATGTGGGAAGGGTTTCACCCTATCATCACACCTTAATCGACACAAGAAGATCCACACTAGAGAGAAACCCTTTACTTGCACCCAGTGTGGAAAGACTTTTAACTACTCATCATGCCTTAATGAACACATGAGGATCCACACTGGAGAGAAACCATTCACATGCATTCAATGTGGAAAGAGTTTCAGCCGATCATCACACCTTAATGAACACATGATGATTCATACCGGAGAGAAACCATTCACATGCACTCAATGTGGGAAGGGTTTCACCCTATCATCACACCTTAACCGACACAAGAAGATCCACACTAGAGAGAAACCCTTTACTTGCTCCCAGTGTGGAAAGACTTTTAACTACTCATCATGCCTTAATGAACACATGAGGATCCACACTGGAGAGAAACCATTCACATGCACTCAGTGTGGGAAGAGTTTCAGCCGATCATCACACCTTAATCAACACATGATGATTCATACCAGAGAGAAACCATTCACATGCACTCTATGTGGAAAGAGTTTCAGCCGATCATCACACCTTAATGAACACATGAAGATCCACACTAGAGAGAGACCATTCACTTGCACTCAATGTGGGAAGGGTTTCACCCTATCATCACACCTTAATCGACACAAGAAGATCCACACAAGAGAGAAACCCTTCACTTGCACCCAGTGTGGAAAGACTTTAAACTGCTCATCATGCCTTAATAAACACATGAGGGTCCACACTGGAGAGAACACATTCACATGCACTCAGTGTGGGAAGAGTTTTGGAAGAAAATGGGATCTTAAGATTCACATAAGGATCCACACTGGAGAGAAACCATTCACATGCACTCTGTGTGGGAAGAGTTTCAGCCGATCATCACACCTTAATGAACACATGAAGATGCACACTGGAGAGAGACCATTCACATGCACTCAATGTGGGAAGAGTTTCAGCGGATCATCACACCTTAATCGACACATGATAATCCACACTGGAGAGAAACCATTCACTTTCACTTAAGCCGCGGTCACACTGGACTTTTCTCCCCATAGATTTCCTTTCATAAGCACGGAATGGGTCAGACCACAAACCAAGTTTGTGTGTTAAGTTTCGCAGTTCACTGCGTTGCAAAGTTTAAGCTTGGTGAACTCTGACCCGCGAAATCTCATCACTTGACTGTGAGACCAATTAAAGATAAAAACATGACCTCTATGGACAGAAATGTAAAATATGTACCAATCGCTCACTTTTTTTATGTCTAATCATCTTGTTTAATCCCACCCCTTTTCGCAGCGCCAAACAACACAATTTCGCATGCTCAAACTCTAGTGTGACCGCAGCTTCGGTGTGGGATGAGTTTCAACAACTCCTCAGACCTTAATGAACACGTGAAGATCCACACTGGTGTGAAAGAGTATATGTGCTTGAGTGTGAGAAGACTTTTATTACAAAATTGAAACTGCACCAGACGTTTCACACTTGAGAGACCTTACAAGTGTTCACACTGTGACAAGAGGTTTAATCAGTTAACACCTCTGAATCACACAGAAGAAGATTCACACTGGAGAGAAACCGTACAGATCTAATCAGTGTCTACAGAATTGGACAAAAGTTGCAAACATGACATGAATGCAGCAAAACATTTTCTCATGTGCACAGGATGTTTCATGTCTGAATAATGTTTGAAAAGGCTGAGTGACGATATACTGTTTTCCAACACTCCTACACTGCTATAGGTGGGGTTGTAAATGTGTTGTGCTCCTCACGTTTACTGTAAACACAATGATGGCGGCTGAAAGAACATCTGGCAAACATCATAAACATCTGGCAAACAGCACCTCAGTGGATTAAAATCTCTCTTTGCAAGTGATTGTACAGGTGCGGATACATCTGTACTCCACTCTCAAGTGTATTCATGTAGCTAGTTTTGTTTTGGATGATGTTCTCTGTCTGACTCCCTGAATGAGTAGCATCACTGGGAAGACACCGCACATCAAAGAAGGTGGAGCTCCAGGACAGTTAGTTTGCATATACCAGGGCCTCAAGTTTAGAAAACCCATTCAATTGTCCTGTGTTGCATCTTTTATTTGTAAAGTTTCTTACTTCTAGGACATCAGAAGAGTGACTTATGTGACAGGTATGCGTTGTTTACAGTGGGGCAGAGGAGCTAACAGCAGAAATGGTTGTTAGTTTTGGTGTAATTTATCATCATCGTGCTATTTTATTACATTTATGGGAACTGCACAAACTCCAGTCTGTTAACATATCAAGTCCACAAGTTTCATGTTGCTATTTTGGTTCATGAAATGGGATGAATCCTAAGAATGATAGCAGAAAACAGAGAGAAACACTCCTGGATCAGTCGGAGATGCAGCTCGATGAAAACAAGAGCTGTACACGGTAAGACAACTCGTTTTTCATTTATGTTTGTTAACTTTCAAGTCAGTGAGCATGATTAAGTAATTTGAAGCAACGCAATGTGTTTACTTTGGAGTAGACTAGCACTGCTGCTAGCTTGTATTGTTAAGCATATTAAATATACTTTTTTAAAGCGTGTAAAAATGTCAACATATGATAAGACGGCTAGTAGCATCAGTTTGCTAGTATAATAAATGTCTTGTATAATTACAGCGTTGTGACTTTGTTTGCTTTTTGGTGTGTTTATTAGACTTTGGGAGACATGCTGACGCGGAGCTGAAGGCTTTCTCTCCACGGGATTCTCGCTCAACTGTGCTTCACTGTAGGCTCACAGAGTAACCTCAACTAAGGTAAAGTTGATTTTATATTTGCACGTTTGTTTAGTGACATCTTGTGTGACACTCTCAGTATTGTTTACCATAGTACTTTGAACATAATGACTGAAATCACACATAAATATGAATTAAAAACAACATTAGCACATAAATGAAAAAAAAAAAAAAAACTAATTTAGAGGTCTTTAGAATTGCGTACAAAGACAGTATGTCCAGCTATAGGAGGGCTCTAAAATCTGCCAGGACCGAGCACCTGCGCAAACTGATAGAAAATAATCATAACAATCCTAGATTTTTATTTAACACCATTGCTAAAATAACAAATAATTGGTCAACTATGGAACAAAATGTTCCACCGCAAATTAGTAGTGATGACTTCATGAATTTTTTCAGTGATAAAATAGAAGGCTTCAGACAGAAAATAGGAGATGCCAAACTTTCTGCACTGGCTTATACTCCAAATCCTGTAAATATTTCATTGAATCATAATAATAACCTACACTGCTTCAAAATCATAGAACAGGAAGAGCTAGATAAAATTATAAATAGCTCTAAACCAGCTACGTGTACGCTGGACTCGATTCCAACAAAATTACTGAAAGAATTGCTGCCTGCTTCAGGAGAACCTCTTCTTAACAATATCAACTCTTATTTATTTATAGTCCATGTTCCAAACTCTTACAAGCTAGCTGTTATTAAGCCTATTATTAAGAAACCACAACTGGACCCCAACTAGCTAATATATAGGCCTATTTCAACAAATCAGCGCATATATTCAAGCCTACTTCTATTATGCTCTTTTCTGCAGACCAACAATATTTTTGAAGTGTTTCAGTCAGGTTTCAGGGCTCATCACAGTACAGAAACCGCATTAGTGAAAATAACCAACGATTTACTCTTAGCTGCTGACCGAGGGTGCGTCTCGCTATTAGTTTTACTCGATCTTAGTGCGGCATTTGACACCATTGACCACAATATCCTCATAAATCGCTTAAAGTCTACAGGTGTCCAGGGACAAGCTCTACAATGGTTTAAGTCATACTTAACTGACCGTTACCAGTTTGTGAATATTAAAGAGCATATTGTAGGTTAGACACCCCAGTGAGACAATGTGTGTAAGAGTAAAGTAAGAATTAGATTTTCTTTAAAATATACGTTAAAGTTTATTATTAAGCCGTTTGGAGTCGTTTTAAGTCACAGAAATTTACTTCCATGTTTGAATCGCCAGACCGGAAGTGCAACGGATCAGTGAGTTTGCGCATATAAACACTATGAAGACAACTGATCGTGGTGCGCATTTGGTTGCCGAGAAAAGATATTCTGAGAGACTCACACAAACGACAGACCACAGCCATACAAATATAAGCCTGTGGACAGACCAGCAGACAGAACAGCAGTCTGGGAAGTGTAATTTAACTCTTTTGTAAGGGAGAATAGAGCAGGTTAGTGGTGAGGCCAGTGTTGGCTTACAGAGAGATATGTAAGATAACAAAATCTTATCTGGCAACAGCAAAGCGAGTATTGATCATCTATAAGTATTAATACTTACCAGTACAGAAACTAATGAGCATTTAACACAGTTATGCCACATTGACACTATTTTTAATAGTAGATAAGTGAATACAAAACACAAATAACACAGAACGTCTGGAATAATGCAGAAACATGTAAACAAGGTACTGGAAAATCTTTTTTTATTTTACAAAAGGTTTTCAGAGCTTTTGTATTAAAATAAAAACAACATCAAATATTAAAACAATTAAAATAAGTTTTTAAATATGTCTTTTTTTCATTGGGTATAAGATTATCTGTATCAGATCCCATTTAGGCTACAATCCATAAAAAAGACAAGTACAGTTGTTATAGTATAAATTATTTACAAAGATTTGATCAACAGATCTGATCTGCATTTATGATTAAATAAACTTCAACCCTAATTCAAGTTCAAATTCTAAATGCAACTCAAGTTCAAGTTTTATTTATATAGCACAAAATCATAAGCAGTGTTAATACCCAGCATTTTTACTCTTTATATATGTATAAATATCTGTGTGAGTGTGTGTATACTGAAAGGAAAATATATCATCTGACCCATTTAAAAGTAAATCTAAAATTATTTTTCAGTAAGTTGGCCAACGTTTATGTGGGTGCCACACCATTATGTCTTTAATGTGTGTTAAATTGTGAATGCTGTGTAAAAAGAAGCCGACAGCTTCATCCTTGTAAACCCGCTGGAAGGATCTAGAAAGGAGAGCAAATGTAGTGGCCACTTCTGCATTCTCGTCGAGCCTGTGAAGACCTCCAGTAGTCCACCGTCAGACACGCAGTGAGGGCTGATGCATATATTCTGGGGAAATAATGCAAAAGTTGAAATCATGTTTATTAATAATGTATATTTTAAAATTTACCATATGATTTTTAATATAACACAATACAGAAAACCCAACCACATTTGCAGACCCCTGGATAGTGAACTGCAAACCATCTCACATATACAGTAGACTGTACCCATTATACGTAGAGCATGTAAGAACAAACTTCAATTTTTTGAATGTTATTTGTTTTTCTTCAACAAGATGAATATTCCTCATATGTGAATAAAAAGTGCCTTTTCTCATTGACAGGACGGACATTTTTTTACTCTCCCTCAAGTGGTTTCAAACCTTATTGACTTTCTTCTGTTGATCACAAACCAAGATATTTTGAAGAAAGCTAAAAATCTGTAACCATTGACTTCTATAGTGGGAAAAACAGATATGGAAGTCAATGGTAACACGTTTCCAATATTAAAAAAAAAAAAAAAGTCAAAGATAGTGTGAGTTTACCTGCCTGCATTATATAGAAATATTATTGTAAATCTTTGCCCTTCTAGTTTTTGTTATCAAATAATACCATGCACAAATAATTCACGATAGGGGTCATAATATTTTACCCGATGAACGAGGTGAATGTCTGAGGTAAAATTGGTTTTATATTCACACATTCTGACTTTCTCCCTAATAATATAATTTCAGAAGAGTATTATTTGCTAATCCCTAATATCATGTTAGCAGCCAATGACTATCAAAGTACAACATTGTTCACTGTCAGTTTAATAGTGCTAATGTTGTTTTTAAGTCATATTTACGTGTGATTTCAGTCATTATAATAAAAGTGCTATGGTAAACAATACTGAGAGTGTGTCACACAAGCTGTCACTAATCGAATGTGCGAATATAAAATCCACTTTACCTTAGTTGAGGTTACTCTGTGAGCCAAAGTGAAGCACAGTTGACCGAGAGGCCAGTGGAGAGAAAGCCTTCAGCTCCGAGTCATAATCTGTCTCCCAAAGTCTAATAAACACACCCCAAAGCAAACAAAGTCACAACGCTGTAACTATGCAAGACATTTATTATATTAGCAAACTGATGCTACTAGCCGTCTTATCATATGTGTACATTTTTACACGCTTTAAAAAGTATATTTAATATGCTTAACAATACAAGCTAGCAGCCGTGCTATCGGCTACTCAAGTAAACACATCACGTTGCTTCAAATTACTCAAAGAATAATGCTTACAAACTTGAAAGTTGACAAACATAAACGAAAAACGAGTTGTCTTACCGTGTACAGCTCATCGAGCTGCATCTCCGACGTATCCAGGAGTGTTTCTCGCCGTTTGCGTCAGCTATCACTCTTATCGGATTCATCCCATTTCACGAACCAAAATAGCAAGAGGAAACTTGTGGACTTGATCTGTTGACAGGCTGGAGTTTGTGCAGTTTCCATAAACGCAATAATATACCACGATGATGATAAATTACGCCAAAACTAACAACCAGTTCTGCTATTAGCTCCTCTGCCCCACTGTAAACAGCGCGCGTCTGTCAGATAAGTCCCTGCACTGACGTCACCGGGGTGGTTAGAAAGAAAAGCGGAAGAGGGAAAACAGACACATTTTCTTTCAAATTTGTGCCCTTGCACTTCGTAAAACATTTTAATATGGTATTTTATGGTATTATAGAGTATTTTCACAAACGATTCTACCTTTTTTTAAAACAGTTTTTTAACCTACAATATGCTCTTTAACCTTATGGTTTTGTTTTGCATTACTTATATCATGTAGTTAAAAGTGTTGTTGTGATTATATCCTAAGTTCTTTATCTTCATTAGTATCCCTAAACATTTGTTGGTTGCATTGATTGATTTGTTCTATAAGTTGCATTTTATAATAAATATTTTGCATTCAGGTTATTTTGTTGGCTCATCTCTCTTTTGTGCTGCGACTCAAACAAGCGGGTCATAACACTTCGTAAAATGTGTCCGGTTGTATCCGAGATCTTGTCCTTTCAGTCATGACCATGGGTGACAGTAGGTACTTAGATTACCTTACGTCTCAGCTCCTTCACCAAAACAGACAATCACATCAACTCCATTACCAGCTGGCAGCTAGCTCTCTGCAACTCTCACATGGCTGCCCACTGAAGCTAAGCAGGGTCAGTACCTGGATGGGAGACCACATGGGAAAGCTAGGTTCCTGCTGGAAGTGGTGTTAGTGAGGCCAGCAGGGGTCCTAATGCCCCAGTATAGTGCTCAGTGAGCACAGTCTTTCGGATGAGACGTTAAACCAAGGTTGTTAGGTGGTCCCAGGATGTCCTTCGAAAAGAGTAGGCCTCTGCCCATCATGGGCTCCTAACCATCCCCATATTCAATTGGCTTCATCTCTGTCTCCTCTCCTGGTGTGTCATCCAGGTGGATGCTACACACTGGTGAAGTGGTGGAGGAATCCCCCATTGTGCATTGAGTGCCCAGAAAAGTGCTATATAAATGTAAGGAATTATTACTGCTGCCGCTGCACTGATCCATCTTTTAATCTCATATTACATTCCTCATGGCAAAAAAAATCAGATACTCCATTTGGGGTAAGGACTCTCTGCCAAACTGGAGGTGGCTACTTTTTTCCATTCAAGCATTATGGTTTCTGACTTAGAGATGCTGTTTCTTTCCCTGCCATGTCACACTAAGCAGCAAACTGTCCCACTGCATGCTGAAGGTCCATGTCCAAAGTACCTGCGGGGTCTTAAAAGCATTAAGAAAAGTCTTAAATTTGATAATCTCAAATTAAGGCCTTAAAGCCTTGAATTTGGTATACAACGTCTTGAATTTTGTTACAAAGGTCTTAATTTTATGCATTTATTTTTGCCTTTCCTAGGATTAAGTTCGGACCGTAACAAAATGAACTGCTACTAATGTAGGCTACTTAAAAATTAATGCAGCGTAACGTTGAGTGCACCTCTAGCTCCACGTCATAGCAGAAATCGCGAAAGTGTGCGCACCCATCATATGGTTACTTGAGGTGAGGTACAGAACAAGATAGTCACTAGCCCAGTTTGTCGGTAAAAATGGGAAAGTGTCGCTGTGGCCAAGGAGTCCGAATTGAGTTTGGGTTAAGCCTGTGCCAGGAAATGACCGCGACGCCTATTGCTGTTGATGCCGGAAATCTTTTAAGCTAACGTTAGAGACAATGGATGTTACGGCCCTGGACTCCCATATGGGGGGTTGCCAAACACACCATGTGTATTACTGCTTGTCAGCGCCAACCACCTATTGTGCAGTTCTGTGCACCGGAGGCCTCTTCGGTTACTGAAACAGCTTTACCGATCAATACCAAAGAAATTTCTACATTAGAAGAATGACATTTTCTTCTTCTTCCTGTTTTACGGTGATCGAAAACAAAGTTTTTGATGCATTACTGCCACCTCTTGCTCTGGTTGGTGATGTAGCCACACAATCATTGGGCTGACACGAGAAACTTGCTTGATTAAAAGATGACAGAGAGATTAGATTAGGCTGTAATTCATTAATGAAAAGTTGTAAAAGTATATACAATATAATGCTTATTGCAGAGTATTTCCCTTTACTATAAATAACTATAGTATTTTATTTGTGTAACACCTGGTTTTATTGGATTTTTAGTTTTTGCCGTTATATAACATAATTTGTTTCTGTTTGGTACAACATAATATTTACAGTAAATAACTGAACTGAATCATTTTTCATTGACAGTTTTATTGATCACTAAGATATGATTGACTTGGATTTAAGTTGCTTCGATTTAAATATGAATATTGTAAAAATAGCTTGGATGTAGCTACACTACTTTTGCCAAGGAGTTTTTAGCTTAGCTTGCTACATTTCCAAGAGGTAAGCTTTTAGTCTAGTTAAGCTGGCAATCTGGCTTTAAGAAAGGCCATTCAACTGAGACTGCCCTGCTCTCAGTCGTGGAGGATCTCAGACTGGCTAAAGCAGACTCTAAATCATCAGTCCTCATCTTGCTGGATTTGTCAGCTGCTTTTGACACTGTAAACCACCAGATCCTGCTATCTACGCTCGAGTCACTGGGCGTTGCGGGCACTGTTATTCAATGGTTCAGATCTTACCTCTCTGACAGGTCATTCAGGGTGTCTTGGAGGGGAGAGGTGTCCAACCTACAGCATCTAAACAGTGGGGTATCTCAAGGCTCTGTTCTTGGGCCACTTCTCTTCTCCATCTACACAACATCTTTAGGACCAGTCATCCAGAAACATGGATTTTCCTACCACTGCTATGCTGATGATACCCAGCTATACCTCTCTTTTCACCCTGATGATTCCTCGCTTCCAGCTCGCATTTTCAGCCACCCACCTGAATGTTTGGCCACAAAATAACCCAAACTGGATTTCAAAGAATCTCAGCAGATGTTTTCTGTTAATCACATCTCCATGGTGCTTATTTAAGTTTCTTTGGTCTTGTCCAGTACTGCCTCTGGGGACAGTTTTCTGTATGATTTTCATTTGTTAGCGTCCTTTACTTTTGTTGCCTCTATCTGTCAGATTCAGGCTGCCATCAATAAAATAATTATATCATTAATAACAATGTTTGTCCCAGTTGAGACAGTGAATAAGTCAAATTTTATTTTATCTCTTTTGTAATGTAATAATGTACATGTAACGTAATTTTTTTTGAAGACAACATTTTCATTTACAAAAAAAAATATTTTCTACATTTTGAAAACTACTGTTTTATTACATGTAAAAGCAGTGCATTCAAACTATTACTTTTGTATAACATGTCTTTATTGAGTTTTTTCAAGATTTTACATTACCCAAAAATGAACCTAGACAGGCTTAGGGAAAATAAATAAATAAAAAAAATAAAATAAAATAAATAAAATAATAAATTACACATGTACATATACACATAAAAATATAATAAATAAATAAATAAAAATAAAATCAAGCACCAACTAACATCCCACAACTTCAGACTTCCGAAGCTTCTTCAATATCTCCGTTTTTTACAAAGTTCAAAAACACCTCCCAGATGTCACAAAATTCAGTGGATTTTTTCCTTATTATATATGTGAGCTTTTCAAGAGCCAAGCATGTTATAAGGTTTCTCAACCAAAATCCAATGGAGGGGCGATTAACTTTTTTCCAGCATAAAGCAATACAACGCCTTGCTTGTATTAAACATAAATCAATAAATTTTATTTCTTTAGTAGACAAGGCACAACTGTCTTCATACATATTCAATATATCAAACTATTACTTTAAATTGAAGTTACTTATATTTTAGTCTGTTACTAAATTTAATCTATGTCTGTGAAATAGAAAATTAAAGAAGATTATTAATGTTAACTTTGTTACTGGATTATAATTAGGGATGAATTAATGCATGTGCATTATTATATTATTTGTTTATTATTGAAGATGCATTAATGTGTGACCCTTATATTATCGCTTTATTATTAGTGATGAATTAATGTGTGAGCATTATTCTATTATTGGTTTATTATTAGTGATGCATTCATGCGTGATCCATATTGTTTTTTTGTTTTGTGATGGATTTATTAGATTAGTTTATGATTAGTGATGTAGTCATATGTGAGCGTTATTATAATATTTGTTTATAATCAGTGACTGATGAAATGAGCCTTATATTTATTATAAGTGAGTGATTCATTGATGTGTTAGAATAATGCACGGGCATTATTGTAACTATGGTAGTAAATAATAATATAAAGTGTTGTAATGTATAATAACTGCATTAAAATGTTTGTAGTAAAACTTTAAAGAGTGCTTGGTCGGCTAAGTTAATCTTACCAAATAACGTTATACAACATCTATAGCAATCATATAATAATCGTGTTGTAGTAATTAATGTTACTGTAATGGTTATTCATTTAAACCAACTTGTTATAAAAATACTTAGTTTGCAATTGTTGTCCGAATTAATCTGCAACGAAATCTGTTATTACAGTACAAATCTTGAATGGTATAAGGGCTCTGATTGGCCATAGCGTTCATTGTAACTCAGAACATGATTGGCTGCCGTAACCAAGAATAGGGTGAATCTTGGTTCCAGCTCAGGACGTGATTGGCCAGCGTAACCATGAATTAAAAAAAATCTTGGTTCCAACTCGGAACGTGATTGGCCGGTGTAACCAAGAATAACCACGAATTACAGGTGCCAGTATGCGCCACTGGCCCAGTCTGCACTGTGTGGCATATTTGCCGACATATAACAGAGACTGAAACATTGCCCACACTTGTCTGAGGTGGTCATTTTGACTGCAATCTTGTTTTAGGTTGGCACTTTGTTTTTGAATATTGTCTGCTTTTCAAATGCGTATCTGTGCTGCAGTAGAACGCCTTAGCCTCACTGCAAACATTTTGGTCTACAAGCTGTCACTGCCGTCTTCCCAGGAATGTGGCTGTACTGGTTTCTTCTGGAAGTCCTGAGGGATGTATGGGACCAAGACATGAGAGCAGTTGGGGCAGCCTTTGAACCCAGGAGAGCACCCCACAGGCTCTGTGCTAGCGGCCCCAGAAACTCGATTCACTCCAGAGTAGAACCGAACAACTCCGGCAGGGGCAAACCGCGATCGCACTGCACTGAGAGCAACGCAAAAAAAACCTGAACGAGCCAGCCAGGAGTCGAACCTAGAATCTTCTGATCCGTAGTCAGACGCGTTATCCATTGCGCCACTGGCCCAGTCCGCAGTAGCAGTGCTCAGTAGCGTGCTGATTGGAAAGAGGACACGGCTCGGTGAACATGGAGTTCCTTCAACGCATGCTGTGCTTTGTTGTCATGGCAAGTTGTGGTGTCGATAGGATGCTCTTACACCGAGCATGTGACAGTCCCTCCCAAGAAGAACTGTGATCCAGGCAAAGGTTAGAGTTATTTTTGTCA